GGAGCAGTTGCTTTTATCAACCTCATGCTCGCTAGACAGGTTTTTCAACTTGAAGTAACTCTGATGCGGTTCGCTTAACGCACGAAGCCATCGTTTAGCTATTTTTGCTCTCCGACATTTCGCAACATTGATCACTATTGTTAAGGATATCCAAGGACCTGAGCTTCCCTAATCTAACCTAACAAGCCCTACAGGCATTGTCCAGGCAGTATGCAGCTAGCTTGCAGTGCCGCGACCTAGGCGTAATATTATCCACCTCAGAGCTAGCTTGCAGACAAGCATCTTTGAGGTGGACAATAGACGTCAGACTCTGGAGTTTTGCGAACACACAGTGCCACTTGTCGACGCAGTTTTGAGTAGTGCAAATCCCGAATCCCATGCACAGTTTGATGCACAACCAGGTGCAACCACAGCGTATGAAACAAAGATTCAGCTAAATATAAGATGGTTTTGCGCATTGAAAAAAAAAAAAAACACTTTGAAAAAGAGCTACGAAATTTCTTTCCGCTAGTCGGACGCGTCACTGAACGACCATAAAATGCTTGTGGATTCACTTGCCAGAACGGCAGAGAGAACAAAAGCAAATGCAACAGCTCCGCACTCTACAAAACCTACCTCATTCGACGCTACTGTTATGTTTTGCAAATTGCCACAAATGTAAGGAACTTCTGTTTTGCTGATTTCTGCAGCTTTTACGAAGCAGAACGGCGAGAACGCTGGAAACCGGCCGTCGCAAACGTATTGTGTAAGCGGATAACTCCCGTTCTCCATAGCTGGCCGCATGAGTATGTGTGATAATGAAGGTGATGCGATAATGTGCCCAATTATTACCAAGGATAACCGTGGTAACTTTGACTATGAAGTTTAACAGAGCCTCTGCTCGTGGTGCGCGCTGCGCAATAGTAAACAGGTGACGCGGGCAATAAACATCGCACACGCCGCGACCACCGATAATCTGAAGTGGTCGCCACTATGCAGCATTACTCATGTAGGGCTTTGAAGGCTCCAAGTTCCTGCTTTAACTAGGAAATGTGAACACTTACGTCACACAGGTAAATTGCAAAAAGATCGCGAACGCAATAAGGCTTTTTTTTTTTTTTTTTTTTTTTTGCCGTTCGTCTCCATGATTGCCGGAGCTATCTCGGAGGCCTCGGTTTCGCCTTACGTTATTCACTGAGAAAGTGGACATGCATGTATCCCCATTTGCAGCATATATACGCGGAAGACAATTGTCAACTTAAAGGGAAGTTGAAGAAATTTTAGAATTCAATCAAGCTATGTGTTTAGGAAGGACCGACATGATTGTGGACGATGCCATAATTGTTTTCGCAGTTGCAGCAGTAGGAGCTCTAGAACAGGCAAAATAAAAGCTTGTCTTGCCCCACCCCCGTGGCGCACTGAAAGTGTGGGCGTGGAAACATACGTCATCGTCCTTTCCTCTGGCCCGGAGCAAGTGTTCTTTTTTTTTAATCTTCAACCACGGTCTCCGTACTAACCCATGGCGTGCCATTGCCGGAACTAATCGAAGAGGCCACACTTCAGCAGCGCTGCTGTTGCAGATGACGTGGCATGATGAAAATTACGTCACCGTGTTCACTCCGTGTCTCAAGAAGCCCGGCTGCCCCAGCCACTATCTTTTCACCAAAAAGTGCTATTGGCGTTCACTTTTGAGAACTCTCACATTGCTTTTATAATTCAGCAGGGATCAAACTGTTTTTACATGTTCCTAAGTCATTTTTTTTATGTGCTTCAGCTTCCCTTAAACACTCTAGCAACAGTTCAACCCACAGGAAACGAGAGATCGATAGAGAATGCAGCTGCAAAGACGAAAATCGTCAGGGCCATTTGTGCCAGACAAAGCGAGCTTCGTACCACGGGTCAAGAGATAGATTGCTCGTCTATGTACTTGGTCACTTTAATATCATGTGTATGCCCAAGTTTAATGCATTAAGGCGTTGGATAATGCACGTCTGAGTGTTTGCCTCGATCTCGATGTCATGCGATGCTCTCTTGCTCTTGAATTGCAGCACACCGAAATAACTGAAACACCTTTTGCATTGCACCCGCAGTTCGCATTGATGAGCTTTCTACTTTTCTGAAGCAAGGTTGGATTGACGGAAGAAGCTTGCCAGGTCCTTGATTTTTAAGAAACGGCACCCCAAGACCAACGAAACAGGAGGGCCTATGTACGTTTGCTTGCGGATGGCTCTCTTTGCACAACCCATAATGGCCGGCGTGTCGATGGGGGCGCTGGTGGCAGCGTTTTTCGCAGCGCTGCTTTGGCAGAGTGTGACGTCCGTATCACGCCTAGGTCACGCTATTCCTCTAGCCTGGGCAGCTCCTCGCCGTTCGGCAGCACCAGACCAGCCTCAGCACACTCCCCAGAGAACGTCACTTGAAACCCTCCTACAAGAAAGAACTGCCGGCACCCGGTCGGTCGATATACTCTACCGGCTGCCGGCATTATAGCCACTACCTAAAAACAAAGCTCTACACACTGAGTGACAAAATTTTTCAGCGATTTTGACACCCTTTGCTTTTTTTCATGCAGTCGTGAAAGGATGTCTGAGCACCAAAATCCTGAAGTGCAGGGGTGTCAACTGTTGCCCCTCATTAAAATGCGGCCTGGAATCCAAACAGTGAGCCTAACAGCAATGCGACAAGCTACTAGGGCGGTGATAGAGGCCCATGAACGATACAGTTCCTAAACATCTCTTACACAGCGCAGACCGCATCGAGGTTTTGCGATCGGCAAGGTTCTGTTTGGCTAGAGTGTACTAGAATAAGAGGAGTGCCCGGACTGAGCTCCGAAAATTGAAGCCCAAACAGGGTTAATCCGCTTGTGGCACTGTGATCGGTAGTACGCAATGTGTCATCGTTTTAAAAGCCATGCGCAGCTCTACCGAAGTGGTCGAGGCGTAGAATGCTCACTGCCCACTTAAAAGACCCAGGTTCGAATCGCAGCTGCGGACGATGGATTTTCTTTTATCTTAATTTTACTTCCACAGCTGTAAAGGTTAGCTTTTTTTTTTATCTGGCTTCAGCTGCCACATATTGCTACAAAAAATCACGCGAAATATGAAGTAAAGAAAAAAAAAACATGGCAATGAGGATGGATGGATTGATATGGCTGCAGCCTTTAGATCGGGTGGTGGCTAACGCCACCAAGCCACATTACTTAGTAAACCAAAAACTAGATTTATTTTTTTCTTTTAAATAGTGAGGTTGAGGACTGGTACTTTGCAGTGAAGGGTTTAATTTTCACTTCTGCCTTGACTTTAGCCACCAATCAGATAACCTCCTTCTAGTTAATTCTACCCGCGTAGTCTATTTTGCCCTCCCTCCCTGTCCCTAAACCCCGGTGCTTCGAAAAACTCTGCATCGTCATCCTGAACTATAGGGTGAAGCCCTTTACAGAACATCATCAAGTGTTCGGCAGTTTTCTACTCCTCTCCACAAGCACTGCATACCGTGTCTACCATTTCGTATTTGGCCCGATATGTCTTCGTTCGCAATACTCCCGTCCTGGCCTCAAACAGTAGAGAACTACCCTGAGTATTATCATAGATTCTTTCCTAGGCAATTTTCTGCTTAAAAGTTCGATAGATCTCTAGTGCGGACTTCTTAATCATGCCAATTCTCTACATGTCAGTCTCTGTTTCCTTCACGTTTTTCTTAGCCGATAGTTCTTTTTGGTTTGGCCACCTGCTGTTTTTTAAGTATTTACCAGTCAATTTCCTAGTTCGCTTCCTCCATTTTGTATCGACATTCTTCAAGTACAAGTAGCTGGAAACCTTCCTAGCCCAATGCTCCTCCCCCATTTATCTCAATCACTAGCTTCTCTGCCCTCAAATGATGTCCACCCCATATCACCTTGTACTCCCTAATTTGGTGTGTTCTCGTGACCTCCTAAGGCAAGCCTACCTATTCCACGTTGCTTAATTTCTAATCTTGCTTGACCTTCTGATCTTATGCACAATACCGCATTGCTGAACGTCAGACCAGGAACCATGACCCCTTTCCATATTCCTCTCACAACATCATACGTATTGTAATTCTACAGTGGCCTGTTTTTCATTACCGCTGCATTCCTGTTACCTTTAGTCGTCACGTATGTTTCGTGTTCCCGTAGGTACTCGGCCCCATTGCTTATCCATACGCCCAAATATTTGCATTTATCTGTTATCTCTAGCGTGACTTCCTGTATCCTAAGCTCACAACCTTCCACATATAAAAGCACCGCCATCCAGCAGACATTCCAAGGACTAAACGAAAGGTGGCACACGCACACTTTCTTACGGCTTGCGCTTTGTGTCTACTTCCCACCTTTAACCCCCTCGAGTTCATGGTATATACTAGTTCATTGTGTTCATGGCACTGTGGCCAAACGCTCGCTAAACCTATCTAAAACCAAAAAGGTTACGCCCAGCGAGTATAACGTAGCAGCGGTTTCTTGCCAGGTAGTGCTCAATGCACATGCCCAAGGCTGCTAAGGGGAATGAGAGACAGGAGAATGCGGCTTTTAGTTAACGCGCACGCTGCTAATTTTTTATTGTTCAACAACGCACAGTAGAAATCTCCCACTGGCACCACTTTACAGGTCAAAAGGTAAGACTGGTTACACACTACGACTACGGCTACGAGGGACGAACGGGTGCCGCTTTAAGGAGCTTCGCCCCTAAAACTTGCCCCAAGCACCGAGTGACTGCACCCCACTCAGCCACCAGCGGGAGTGTTTTGCCAACCACCGCCTTGCACGTGCACCGGTGACGTCAGGCTGTGACGTACAACGGTAGAAATCTATTAAGAGAGCGTGTCAGTGTTAGGGAATCAACGACAGAACCTTGCCACGATCCCTTCAAGCTTTTCAAACTGCTCAAGTTGGCATCGACGTTTAATGAAACAATACGCAACTAGCACAACACACAACAGCTTGATCATACACGGATGTTTCCAAGCTTTCAAAAGCATTTCACATGAGCAGTACAAGTGATACTTACAGCTTGAAGTTTATGACGGCACCGGCGTTCAGCAGCAAGGTTCTGAAAAATTATTAAGTGCGGTACGATAATAGATCCAAGTAACGCTAGGAAAGAATAGAAAAACCAAATAAATTTCACCATACCCAAATAGAATTATATCTGACAGCATACTGTTTCGCTACGTTCTTCACTACGTCGGTAGAACCACAGAATACCTATGCATTAATACTAGAGAAGGGAAACTATTTTCACCAATGCAACGCCTCCTCTATTTAGATGCCTGCCGCATGAGAAGAAAAACAGTCCCCACTCCCTTTCCTTCTTTCATTTTAGAATGTTCTTGGTCACTAGCATCACCTGTGACGGACGGTGCAACAACGAAACACTTTGCATAGCCTCCGAAACAGTGATGTACAGTTGCAGGTCTCGAACAACTCTCGACTAAGGCGCCCCTATGGGCCACAGATGAAAAACGCTTAGTTGATACACGACTTCCTCTATAGATTGGCGACCTGCTCATACCGGTTCTCTCTACGGCTGCGCTTGACTCCAACTTTGGAGGGTCACGTGTTTGTCTAGTTAGAAAAGATGTCACAAGAGGCCGCCTCAACTTAACCCCATAGCAGCCGACGCGACAATTTGAAAAGTGCGTAGCTCCGTCGGAACGTTCCCGCGTTTCGAGTGTTCCACGGCAGGTACTTTTTTTCTTTTACCGTCGGAACGCTTTCTAATGTGCCGCGACAGATACATTTTTTTCTTCCTTTAGTAACTTGCGTGCTGATTTTGGAATTTCTGTTTGACTAGTGCGCAGAGACGAGGCCGAGAACGTGAAGTAGGCGCATTGACGGCATGCCTCGGCTCATTGCAGCGGTCCCAACAATTACTCAACGCGGCTGCTGTGTGTGTGCTCTGCGAAAAACTTTCTGTGCCGCTGTGTGGTGAACATTCACGCGTCCTTCATCGCGACACCATTGTTAATAAAGTCGGCAATGTAATGGGAATGTCAATGGGAGCCCTGCCGTGCGCGACTAACGGTTCTCACAGGGTGCCGCCGTTTAAATTAAAAAAATTCTGCCATATCCACGAAGTGAATGATGATGAGTGGGCGAAGCTCCAGAGGTAAACTTGGTAAACCATGAATCCTCTGTACATTTTGCCCACTCGATTTTATTACATCGCTCCCCCTAGCGTACGTCGCCGCACTAAATCGAACGATTGCCTTCAACCAATGACACGCGCCATATGTGACATCATTCCTATTTTATAAGATCTCGCGTCTTTCATCAACTACAAGTACCGCTTTCTAGTTTATAACATCTTGCATCTTTTCATCATCAGCTACAAGTACCACCATCTAGTAAACACTACAAGAACTAAACGAGAGGTGGCTATATATACATACAGGAGACGGTACCGCCATCTAGTGAACACTGCAAGAACTAAACTAGAGGTGGCTACATACAGGGGACGGTACCGCCATCTAGTGAACACTGCAAGAACTAAACTAGAGGTGGCTACATACAGGCTACAGGGGACGCACAGCCCACGCCCTAAGGAGCTTCGCCCCTAAAACATTGATGGCACTTGGTTCTTCAGACATGACATTTCAACGTCTTCATGGTCGAGGAGTCTGTCATTCTTCACTGAAGTAGAAACCTCTAAGGACTATTGTAGCTGTGCAATTTATTCCGCCCGTTTGAACGAAGAGAAGTGCCGAAACTGCAATGCTCGCATTTTCGTTTCTTGTAGCACATTGAATCATCCGAGTCTGTTTCAGAGTTGGAAGCTTTTTAGCGCACGTATTACTACGAGATCACGAATTACATGGAGTACGATTAGCTTCAGGCTTTTTATAAAGCAGCGTAAGCTACGTATAACCACGACCATACTTAACACACCGTTTTTATGCATTACGTGGACCAAGTTGCTGAACTTCCCATACATTTAGCCTGCTACAAGCAGCGGCACTTAATCATTTGTCCCATTGAAACCAGCACACTTATGTTACAAAGGCAAAATTCAAATGCACTCTCTGTAACTGCAATTGACCCGAATCTTTCTGAAAATATATTTTGCTACACTTCCATTAGTAGAGCCTCTTAACTGCTGTGCCCCTGATTAACCCACCAATTAAATGTTTAAGCCCATTATTTCAGAAACTCGTCTATGTTATACTAAAGAAAATTCTCATGCAGAAGGAACACACTTCATGCATTGGAAAATTTCAGTACATTTTATTTGTTTGCCAAGCTCGAACCTTGTGCACCTTTCGTGACTGTGGCTTGGCGTGCAGCAACTTCCTTTTCGCATGAGTCTCGGTTACAATGCTGGAAAAATTTGCCAGAAAGGGTCG